TCTGGACGTCCTTTGGCCACCGACCGACCGCGCGTGAGCCAAGGAACACGAGGCGAAAGACATGCGCGGGGGCAAGATCTATCTGAACAAGTGCCTTCGGCTCGACCGGTGGCTACCGGCTCGACCGGCGGCTTCCGCCCGGCGCGCGGGCCACATGTACGGAGCGGTGGGTCGGTGGGTCCGTTTGGAACGAATCGATCATGGGGGGGGAGTCCTAAAGCATCGATATTGGGGCAGGTTGGCAACCCCAAAACAGCGAACAGCGGCTCTGTCAGTGTGGAAGGCGCGGACGGTTCGGATCTGAGACGGCACGGCGCAGCGCTCCGCCGCACGTTGAAGGTTGGGTGGTCAGTTGAAGAGATCACTTTGCAGCATCCCACGTAGCGACATCCCACTGATACAAGTGACCTCTCAATCGTTTCGGTATACGCATACTTAAGTCACCCGGACGGTTCCGCTGATCGGCGGAACACAGGACATATATGTCCATGTTTGGGGGGTTTAGAAACCAACATAACCGACCAACCAACGATCCAACCAACTATCGATCGATCCATCCATCCATCCATCCATCCATCCATCCAACCACCCAACCAACCAACCACCCAACCAACCAACCAACCATCCATCCAACCAACCAACCAATCAGCCAATCAACCTAACCAACTTCCAGAGAGGCCTCCAGCCCCGTTGGCGCACGCCCGAGACAGTGTGAGGAAAGACCTCGAGGGGGCTCCCGAGACGGTGGCGGAAGGGCAACAGGCCTGCGTTTTTTCTTTTTCGCGAAGCTGTCAAAAAGCCATAGAGCAGATCGGAGTGGAATAGTCAGCAGGTCTTGGTGCAAGTGGTTCGTGCACTCATAAATCGCCTGGAAGTCAGATTGGGCGTTCCAACAAACACTTAGAGGTTGATTCAGTGCACATGGTTATTTTTTGGTCCATGTTCTGTATAGTCTATTCTGTTCATGTTCATTTCCTCCACCAGTCGGGTCTCCCCAAAAGACGGGCCATGAGGGTATGGAGCTCAGATCAGTCTGGTGAACTTGGTGGCCAGAGTGCTTTTTCTTTTTTGGACCCAGAACAAACATCAACACTCCACATTGGGATTGGAGCTAAGAGCTCTGAGGGGGATTCTGTTTCATGAAGTCGGTGCCTTTTCCTAGGACAAACCCAGGAGTTCTCGGAGTTCTGAGTGGCCTGTTGGTTCGACTGAAAAGCACTGGGAAACGGTCGATTGAACGGATGATGAGAAAACATTTAGTTCCCTCGAAAGGTAACTCAAACTGCTCAAACTTCTAAAACCAGATGTGGTGACGAAAACCTGTTTTCCTCTTGTGGGTTTCTTCAAACAGGTAAGAAGTGCCTTCAAAATCTGCGATGATGACGATTGGATAGAAGCGTTGCATTGATCGAATTTTTGGGAGGGCTTTTGGTGTTGCAGGACTTCGGAAGGACATCGCCACTGGTGGCTTCACCGACTGGGAGGGTCTTACAGTAACGTCGGTCTTCACCAGAGCGCTTTTTCCCATGTGTTTCACGGTGATGTGACCGAAACTCAAAACTGGCGTCAGTGAGGGTGGTGCAGCGTTTGACTCGTTTCGGGACGGAATTTGCTACCACCCACACGCTCCAAAACAGCCCGACTGGTCCCTGAACACCTGGGAATTGAGACCCCTTCCATATGAGCAGATTCCCAACCCAAAGGGGGGGGGGTCTGGCTCTGGAAGGACCGACCCGTTTCGTCCGACCCGTTTCGTCCGAACCGGCGAGTCGGCGAGTCGGGTCGGTGAAGCGAAGCGAAGCGAAGCGGGGCGTGGAAGGTCACGGCGAGGTCACGGCCGGGTCTCACGTGTCTCGTTGACCACGGAACAAGGCGGTGTAGACAGGTCTCCGGAGCAAGGCGAGGGTTGTTCTGGTGACAGACAACCCTGATGGTTCTTTGATGTGCTGAAGTTCTGACGGTGCGATGGTTGTTCATGACCCGCAAAGATCACCACCTGGAGATCACAAGAAAAGGAACAACCGGTTCTTTGGAAGAGAACAATTAAACACACGCATTCATAAGACACAAGCCTATTATAAGCTCGATAGAGGTTTCCCAAAAAGATGTTGGAACAACTTCTGAAAGATCCATCGATCGGGCGATCCATATATTTTTGTTTTCTTCAACCCAGACGCTCGGTTCACAGCCCGACTGGGTCCCTCCAAACGGTAGGGTTTGGAGATCGACCCCAGGCCCTTCCCGGTCCCCTGATCACGACCCAGTCACGCACGTCGTGGTGCCGGTGACGAACGGAAGGAGGAAGGAGTACAGGTGCCCCTGTCACATCCACTGGATGGCCATAGGGACTCAAAACCACCCCGAGCTCTGTGACTCCTGAAGGTTTGACTTGAAGCCTTTTTCGATCCAAGCCCGACTTGGAAGGGTTGTGTCGAAGGGTCGAGGCAGACCCAACCCAGGCTCCTTCGACCTCATGTCCGATTTAATTGGCGCCATCATGCGCCATCTGATAACTCATTGCCAGCCTGAGTCGAGAAGCAGTTGTATCGTCCGGAAGTGAATAGAGGGGAAAAAGCCGTGAAAAAACACCCCAAAGAGCGCAAGCACCTACCTACCCACGATCTGGGTGGGTTTTCTTGGTATTCAACACCATGGAACCTTCTTTTCAGACCCTATAGGGATCCGTTTTCGAACCGAACCGACCCGGTACGAACACGCACCCGAACATGGCACCTACATGTCTCAGTGTCGAACACCATCACCGGTTCGGTTCGGTTCGAAAACGGATCCCCAGGGGAGAGGGAGTGGATGTCCTTTAGCACCACCCGAGTCCAGGGCGGTGCTGGAAGAGGGGTTGTATTCTCTTCACTTTCGACTTCCGGAAAGGCCCTTGTTTCCGGGGCCAAAGGGGTGCCACAAAACAGCAGCGACCCCAAGAGCCCCAAGAACCCCAAGAGCTGGGACTGGAGCTCTGGAGCACGAACACGGCAGGTGAACGGAGCCCTGCTAATCGACTGTTCATGTTCCGGGTCGGTGTCCCCGGTGCCCTGACCGCCATTGGAAGGTCCGGTTGCCACGCACCGATCGGACCGGTAGCAGGTCGACGCACCGGTCGCACGGTCGCGACGTCGATGGTCAGAACATGGATCGAAAAAGGCTTCAGCAGAGCTCGGGGTGGTTTCGAGTATGGCCATCCAGGGGCCGTGGATGTGACAGGGGCACCTGTACTCCTTACTCCTTCCGTTCGTCACCGGCACCGCGACGAGCGTGACTGCTGGAATATGCTTTCTCTGGTCAATAGATGAACCAAGTCCTCTTCGAACACTGCGGCGGAAGAGAATTCACAACACCTCAACCGTCCAGTTTCCGAAGAGAGCATCGTGCCCCTCCAGATCCACGCGGATCCACGCTTCCGACGTGGGCATTGCTCGGCTCCTCCCACGCCGCCGCGGGACCGCCGCGAGGTGCGATTCAAGCTCTACGTGGATGGCAATGGCCTGGGTGCTGAGGAAGCTGCACTGATCTAGTCGATGTCTCCGGTCGATGGAGACCGGTCTCCATCTGGGTGACATGTGAAAGCCACCCATGCAGGTGCCTCCTTCGGTGCAACACGAGTGCAACCAAGAAGCGCATGTTCATCGAGCAAAATGAACAATGTAATACCATATACCTACAGTACTTTCTGAGATCTTTTGAGATCTTTGGCACGAGTGTCACAAAGCAGGCTCAGGTGGTGTTGGAATGGCATCCAGTCGTGGTAGATTTTCACCCAAACATGGTCAAATCCTGGGTCTCAACCTGAGCCCTAGCCATAGGTAGCCGTACTATAGAACTATACTCAACATATAACGACTATACTCAACATAGAGGACTATACTCAACTTGAGCTGTTGGTAGCCAAGTAATGAATCAAGACATAGCTGGAGCCCCCACGGTTGGCCGAGAGGGGGGCCGAGAGATGGGCGACCGACATAGACTGACAGAGACCGACCAAAAGGCAGCGAGCGAAATGGGCACATCAAGGTGGGTGGAGGGACTCGCAGCGGGGGATGTGAAGCATAGGATTCAAACCCAAAAAATCTTCCAACTGTGCCCAATTCCCCCCTAACTTTGGCCGTGTGCTTCTGGAATAACAGGCATACATTTGGCATGTCGTTGGAAGATCCATGCAGGTATATGGTCCAAAATGGCTCTGGACCAAAAAGCCAGTGCCCAGTACCCTCAGTTGTGAACCCCCAGGTCCGTCTCTAAGACTCAGCGATTCTTCCGTGGTGGGGACGAGTGGACACGCGTCGCGGATTTGACCCGGCGAAGCTGGGGAGAGGAGATGGGGTATCATACAGATTGCCGGCATGGATGACACAAGAACTCTTCACAATACCTAGACCATCCTGTCGGGGTGCCCTGTCAGACAAGCCTCATGAAGCCTAATTAGTGTGGGGTAGTCTAGCCACCCTGACAGGATGGTCCTGATACAAAGCATTTTTGTTAATTGCTGGGTTCTCGCCCCCATCTCCCAAATCCCCCCTGCTGACTCCAGCCTGCGACGACCTGGATTAGTACAGCCGAGCCGAGACCATTTTTCACAACTTGTTGAGCTGGTTGGTCTAGTACTAAAATCCTGAGTAAAACCCTGGTTCCTCGGCATTCAGAACTCTTAAATCCCTGGTAAGCCAGCTGATGTAAGCCGCTTGCTTGGCGCTTCTGCTTGGCGCGGTCTCATGCGGATCGGGAGGGGCCGAAGGAACCCTTCCGGAGGTGGGTGGATGGGTGTGTGGGTACCTCGAGCTGCCTGTGCATCAGGTCCCACGCGACGCAGCTGATGTACGACCCGATGCACGCCCGTTGAACGGACGTATATGTGAAGGGTCACCCATCAGTTCGCCATCGTGTATGGGTGCTTTGGTCCCAATCAAGTGGGGGTTGGACTGATTTGTAGGTGAAATTGAGGCAGGCCTGCATGGATGTTCCGCTTGCCGCACCATCCGAGCCCGTGTCAGGTGCGCCGAAGAGAAGACGTTTTTCCACAGCAGCTGAGGCCCCCCAAATCCCAGAGCTTGGGTGCTTGGGGGTGGCAAACAGGTCGTGCTCGAATAGACCAGTCGCGGGGCCAAGCCTGGGCCAAGCTCCTGTCAAAGTGAGCTCTCCTCGCTCAACCTGCAAACTTGCAGACGTGTTTCTTGCAGGTTCACCCAGGGTTTGAGCAAGTGAGGGTCGACGTGCTACATTGAGCAACATCTACCACCGTGAGGACTCGTAACATGAGTATAGAGTACAGTATACAGGAGTAACAGAATGCATCCACACGGCCATGTTTCATCCATTTTTCTAGGGAAGAACATCTTCACATCTCTTATTTTATCTGTAAATCTCTTCCACCTCCGCCATTGTTGACATCAACATCCCTTCAAAAGAACATACATTGGCCATAACCTCTCTCTTCAACCTCCCCCTTACAAAAAGCCTAAACCCTAAACCCTCACAAAAAGCCAAGCCGTTTAGCCGTTTGGCTTTTCCTCTTCACTTCGTTGCCTCGACCTTGCATCGCTTCGGAGGCCCCCGCGGCGCAGCGCGCTGACGAGGCGGACCTCTTCCTGGCGCCGCTGGCGCAACGGCTGCGGTGCCTTGGAGGTTCAAACGACGCGACGCGACGGATGGGGAGGGTAGAGGACGAAGGATTGGTTGGGAGGCTTTGGAGAAGAATGGACAAAGACTTACCTAGGTCGCTCCAACTGTATAATGTTTGGAAGCAAGTTCTGTATGTTTGGAAGCAAGTTCTGTACTTTCAAGGTCTTAAAATGCCTTGAAATGTGTTTTGGAAGCCAGTTTGGGAAGAAGATCAACGTCCTTGAACAGTCCATTGTTTAGTTGGAGAAGACCTGGCTTGGGGAGAATCCCTATATAATGTGATCCTCAACTCAATCTGTGATAAGACCATCCCAATGCCCTTCTTTGTCCGGGCCGCACACTGACATTTTGAGAAAAGACCAACGCAACAGAGCGTGGCGCAAAAAGGAGCCCCCGCCAAGAATAGGCTTAGCTGTTGTTGAGCCCATTTATCTCTTTCCAGCTCTCTCCTTACAGTGTTTCGGAACTATCTGTTGGACACACCAAAAATGCCCAACGCGAAAAGAAAGCCAACGCCACATCCGGACCATTAGGCTTTACGTGCAAACTGGAGAAGGCGGGAAGTTCCCGTGCCATTCGGGGAGGGAGCTGGGCAGCTGCAGATGGACCCCAAACTGGCCTTTTGTGTGATGGGGTCACATCAATACTCTCCCTGCGGCTCCAGTCATACCTTCTGAGAAGCTGGGACGGGGGTGGCTGCCATCTTCGGGTCGTAACCACCTGGAGCTCCAGGGGCCGATGACTGTCCGATGACTGTGAACTGGGCCGCCGACCTCGGGGGTCAACCATCTGTCAGACTGAAGATCGCCGAACAGTCGGAGGGACGGGAGTTCGACCGTCCGAGGTCCGACGCTGTGGATTTCCGGTGGGCGGAATTCGGGTTGGACCTGCACGAGTGATGTTTGACAGACTGCATGAGCCATGACCTTGAAGAACATCTGCCAGGACACCCCGTGGACCCCCTCAAACAGGGGTATCTATATAGAATTGTCCGGAACAGATGCGAAAGGGTGCCCGTTGACCGTGGGTCCAGGTAGAGGTCCCCAGATGGAGGCCCCCTTTGTTCCACCCTGGCTGGCACGAAATCCCCGAGCACCAGCCGAAGGGTCTGGGATCTGGACCCTCCGACACACCGGCGTGCGAAGCGCGGCCACACGAGCTTGGGCGCGCGGGGGGGGGGGTGCAGCGATGCAGTGCCACGGCAACAGGGGGCGTTTTTGGGGGTTTGGCGTGTGGGACACTGACCCGGTACGTTTGTACCTTAGAAAACGGGACATAATCCCCATCTCAAATGGCCCAAAAGGGTACTTGCACCCATTTTTCCAGGGTGCGAACGGGTCGACTCCAGGTGGATCTTCCCAAGCGACCTCAACCGGAACCAGATATGGGTGGTGTAACTTTTGATAGGGAGACCCCCTTTTCTCGGCCCTGGCTGGGTAGACTGATCTATGTGCCGAACCTTCCACCAGGGGGTAGGATCGCCCACGGTCGGTTCTCCCTAGTTTAGAACACCTCATTTTGTCCGAAACCTTTCGTAGCACCACCCGGAGTTGCATATTGCACCTGACTCCCATCGCGTCGCCAGCTTCGTGGTTTCAGAGTGGATGGCAGTTACCCCCGAGTTCGTCAAAAGGATGGACCAAAAACCTCTTGAGGTGCTGCCATCGGTTCCCTTCGAAGCGACCAGAAACCCATGATCGTGGGCGTTCCACCGCCGCGGTGTCAGGAGATTGTGGCGTGTCCACGTTTCTCCCGCAGAGGGCAATGCCTCGAAGCATCTTCCCCAGGAGTGTCAGGTGCAGGAGTTGTTGGGCGCCGAAGATCTGTGTTTCTTTGGGATCTTTTGGGGGGCACACATTTCCCGCCCAAGAAAATTGGGTGATCTAATCTTGGATATATACCTTACAACTCAATACCAGGACCATCCTGTAGGGCTGTCCTGGCTGGAGTACCCCACACTACCCCACTAGGCGACAGGGCACCCTGACAGGATGGTCTAGGTATCGTGCTGAAGAGTTCCTGGCATTGGGGAGTTGAAATCAGTGAAGGATCGCTTTTTTCCAAAAAGAAGGATTCCTTTTGAGGTCAAAGGAGAAAGTCAAGCAGACCACATTGTTCTTTTTTGAAACAAGTTGGACCATTTTTCCAACATCCAATAACTATATTTGCGGGTTCTCTCTTGGGCTGGCCACGACAGCCGTGGTCGCACCCTAAATGGCCTTTCTTCACACGTGTTGCAGGTGTGCTCCACGCCACCTGCTTGCTCCAACTTGTGGAAGAAGTCCGCCTTGTCGTTAAACATTCTGCCAGAGCTTGTTGGAAGACTGCATGGGCCAGATGGCTGACAATGCACGCGTTTCTTTACAGAAAAAGACTGCTCAGCGTTCTGCAAAGCCAGCCTTGTTGATACACGATGCGCCTGCGGGCTCTTCACGCAAGTTGGCGTCTGCATCTGGCTCCCAACCAAGATACACTGAGGCTCTTTGCAGGGCAACCAGTATGAATCAGAAGGCCCAAGCCAGTGCCGTGAGGAAATGCTCTCTTGCAGACAAGGACAGGCTTTCAGCAGCTGCGCTCTGCGCTCTTTTTCTGCGCCTGCGCGTGCGGGTAACATGTAACATACTCATTCATCTGTGTTTCCTTCACGGGTCACGATCGCTGAGGTGGGCGACCCTGTTGGACTATGCCAGTTCCTGACAGACCTGCGAATCAAGGCACGAGAAAACGCAAAGCCACATCCAAACAAGTATGGCATCGCACACGTGCATAGAAGACCAGAGTCGGCCAATGTGTTGGCAATCAACATCGGGGTGTGGCAGGACAAAGGCGTTGCAGTACTTCTTGAAGAACTGGCAAGCCAGAAGCAGCGCCACTGTTGGACTTGAACACCAGTCGGGACATTGACATCTTGATTGATCAGCTTTTCGCAGGGGCCTTCGGGTTAAAACAAGCGCGGATGCCTCGCCGCGAAGCCATGCGCACGCCACGAGCGTCGAAAGCTGCGAGGCGCGGAGGCTTCGAAGGCGCCGACGCCGCAAAAACGTCGCAAAAAGCATTCCAAGTCTTCGGCAAGATCCTTCCTTCAGGACTGGATGAACATTGGCATGGTGGGGTTTGGGTGGTCAACATCTGCGGTGTTTTCCGAACTTACTCCGCCACGCACTGCCGCCCAGCATGGACCTTCCTACAGCCATACCCCTCCAAAGCACACCTGCCACGCACTCATCAGTGCGTGAGTTGGCCATGCTCCATCATCTCGCAAATCCAACCATGGTACAGCCAGCTTATGATCAGTTTGGACATGCTCCACTACCGGCTCTCAGCAGGGCATGAAGCTTGTTGCATAATGGTCGTGGACGCGTCACAGAAGCTATCGGATCAGATGCACTGGTTGCATCCCTCAGTTATTTTACTACTTGACTTTGGGCTATGCCAGACACTGCCCTCAAATCCTTCCTTGCTTGCAGTACTGCACAATATTTGATCCATGGTGACTCGCTGGGCTCTTTGCTCAACTTTGGCCTTGGCTTGGCTAGGTTCCTTGAAGGACAAGAGCACCACTCTAATGGGAGACCTTCAGGACTGCATCCAAGTCAGCGACGGCAGGCTGACCCAATGTCAGGAGGCATTCTCGAGGACACTGAACATCAACAGGTGAGGCGGAAGGACCAACCGTTGCCAACAACCAGATCGGGCACAGTCCGTGATGCCCCCACGGGCCATACGGCGTGAGGACACTTTGAATGCCCTGAGGAGCTAAGATCACGACCCGGTCAGATGAGGCAAGCGAACGGAGATCCCTCGGGAGAGCTCCATGAGGGACCTCTGTTTGGTGAAGAATCTGATGGAGGGACGATGATTGCAACGCCGGAAGGGCATTGTTCCGAAAGGAATTGGTCACCCGAGGCGAAGAAGAACGATCCAAACACACCTGATTTTGGAAGACCTCAGCTTCCTACCTAATGCGGAACTCCAAAACACGTCAGATGGAACCTCTCCAGCTCCTTCGGATTGAATGGTTGGGGACAAGGACATGGAGACCTTCAGCTTCAGGAGGCAACGCAGTCCATCCAGAGCGTGATTTTGATTCCACAGCCTGAACATCTTCAATGTCCACCATGAAGTGTGTCCATGGAGGTTGCAGATCGGCCTGCGCAACGGCCCTTTGGCGGTCTTGTTGGAGTCCCCAAAGTGAAACATCGTCAGTGCACAACACTCCAAAGGAAAGCATTCTAAGAAGAGTTGGCAAAGCACCACGTGGAGTCGTTCCGCATGAGCCCACATAGCCTAATCGCACCCCCTCAATTCAAGTCCAGAGTCCAGGGCCAGTCTTGCTCCTATGCTGACCATGTGGTTTCATCCGGGATGCAAGAAGCCACACCCGCGGCCCTGTCGTCCGCAAGTGATCTTGATGCGAACAACTTTTTGCACAGTTTTTCAATAACATCATGACCGAAGAGTGTGTGATGCCGGCTGAACGGCCAGACTTTGACTCACTCTCTCTCTCTCTCTCTTTGCCTGTGTACTGTTTGGGAGAACTGTTGCCACCATTGCACGCGCGCGGCATGTTTTCCTCTGGAGCTTGAGCAGGCACCATGTATTCGGCCTTCATAGCCGGCTTCCAGTCAAGGACCGCTCTCGCTTGACATCAGCGACCACCGCCGTGGCAGTCTGTGGCCATAGAGCTTCCGGCACCCTTGCCTTCTTCAGCTTGGTTTGGTCACCAGGCAAGGCCTTCAAGTTTTTCTGACATGGTCCCTGTCTACAGGCCTTGACAAAGTGCCACTACGTAGGACGTAGGACGTACTGCTCCCTCGGGATAAAGGCACGTCACGAATAACAAGTACAAAGATTTCCAATGCAAGTTTCACTCAGTTTCACATATCTTGAGAACAGATGTCACTCAAAATTTCAGAGTTCGCATGTGGTAGGGCGTGCCATTCACATGCTCTTCCCAAACAGCTGGAAACTTTAAACATATAGTTAATTACCGACGTTTCCCCCAACATGGCAGTTCAAGGAAACTATACGCAAAAATCCTGCTGAAATTGTTTGGGGTGCATGCTGGTACAATCTTTACAAAGCCATCCATCAGGCCAGCTTTTTTACAACACAGTTGGAATTTGGGTCTGTGTCGTTGACCTGATACTTTTTCTGCGATGGCCGAGCTTCGTTGAACTGTCATTTTTGGTGATGCGCATCAGTTTTCCAACATTTCCCGGTGTTCCAAGTTGGCATTCTGTGTGCGGACAACTCGCACCTGACGGACCCAAAGTCAAGCTTGAGATCTGGAAACCATACCTAGGTAGGTGCTAAAGCACAGAGGCTCGTCCGTCCCCTTCTCAACTGTGTTTGATCATCCCCCAAGCCTTTGGTGCAGGTCGGGGAAGCTTCACTTGTGGCCCAACCCGAACAGCTGTTGCCTTGGAGGCCTCCAGGCGACGTAATGCTGGGGATGCGATGCGTTGCGGGAGAGAACGTCGCCGACACATGGTGCATTCTGGCTCACGTCGACATGGAACACCACCTGTTTTGGTATTCGGAAAAGGGTCTTCACCGGGGCCATGCCATCCACTTCCATGTGATGTGTTCGTCAAAGTGTAGAGAAGAATCGATCCGACGATTGACCTTTTCTTGATGGAGGAAAGAAATCCTGGAGCACACACGTATACACATAGACTTCTTTCGAAGGGGGGTCACAAACATCACAAACTAGGGCACCTTTAATGACATTAGATAAAACTTCCAAGAAACAGGAAGAAAACAACATATAGAGACCGGAAGAAAAAAGACACGGAAACACAAAGAAAGGAACGAAGAGGCCGAAAAAAGGGGCTTTGCCGGGAAGGCTTGTTAACCTGTGAGGGACCGGGCCACCAATCACAAACAAACCGACCTTTTCAGAGACTCAAAGAGCTCGAAGTCTTCATAGAAGTCATTGTTTGCATTATCATTGACTAATCAGCCGAAGTCTTTTTACTGGGCATATAAGACAAGGATGCATGATACAGAAGGCAGGTCAAGGACGGCCCTCCACAAAAACCCATCTTCACCCATCTTCACCTGGATCCATCCAGTCAGTCGCTGGTGGCCGTCTTCCCCGGTCAGGGGTCTTCGCACAGGTCGTGGGCCATGCGGGTCAGCCTTTAGCCTTGGCCTTGCGTCCGGGGCGCCTGGACCTAGACGTGTGGGACGGAATGCCTCCGTTCGAGTCCGCGATGCCAGGAGCCCCCGCTTCGGTTCGGTTTTCCGATCGCTACCCGTTTCGTAGGTAAGGCCAGGAACGCCTATATCGTAGCTTCTTGTTATTCGAAGTCGAAGAGCTTCTGCGATGGATTGGGCATTTCCTCTTTCACCAACGAGTTGGCCGGCAGGTTTGGTATCAAATCATCGTGACACTTGTGCAACCAAGGTCTCAAGCTACCAACGTCCCGTCTTTCTCCCAGTGATCCCTGCAGTCTCTTCGAACAATGAACCGTTGCCGTTTTGGAGGGTTTTTGGCCTCGCGAAGGAAACACCGATCAGACCTCACCCAGTTCCCACCTCAAGGTTCTGGTACTTGTTTTAATTCTGATTTTTCTGGTGGAAGACTTTTATGGCTCGGACTAGTTGCTAGGTGTTTCTTCCATTTGGACGGGCCCCGTCCACTCGGTTTGAGTGAACTGACTCCGGACGCACATCGATCTTCAACCAGGTGTCTGAAGTGGGTTGCAGGGTGGAGAAAGTGATTGGAGAGGTGGATCGGAGGTGGATCGCCCCGTTTCAACAGGGCTCCCCACATCACCTTTCAGAAGTCTACTGTTTTTCAAAGGAGGGGGCAGTGGGTGGCGCAAGCATCGACTTCTGATGGGAAGTTTGGGGGGTTTCACCAACTTTTGAAGCTCCTACCTGGAACCCCAAACAACCACTTGCTATGTAAAGGATGTTTCCACCAACAACCAGAACTTGCTATGTTTCCAGGACCTTGATTGCCATAGAACATCCAATGGTTTCTGGTTGTTTTTTCGGTTCCAGGTTGAAGAAATCGAAGATCATTCCCTTGCACCGTGAGCTTTACTCAACCTGTTGGGGGCGTTCCGTAGACGTCCAGGACATTCTTCGAAAGGGGAGAAGCAGATGGATTGGCTACTGAAGTCTTGGCCGGGGCCACTTGGAGGGTCCACACCAAATCGAATCCTCTCCAACCATCAGAAGCATCAGCATCAGCAGTCGCCCCTGTTTGATCTTTGGAAACTCGTCCATTTTTTGTGGTGTAGCGGGAGATTGGTGCTCAGCGTGGTGCACTTCTGCAGAAGGAAGTGGAAAACCATCAAACGCTGGGGGGGCCAGATCAAACGCCCAGTTCCATGCTTCTTGGACAGAAAGATTCCGGTGACAGAAAGGAATTTCGGTTGAACCGGCCATTCAGGTGTTTGAGGAAGAATCCTCTGTTCGTCTCAAGTGTTCAGAGTGCCGGGTGCCATGTGCCAGGGCCAATAGGACCTTTGTGTCTTTTTAGTTCACCCAGGCTGAGGAAAAGCTGAGCAGCCCTACCTACCTCCTACCTACCTACCTGCCTGCCTGCCTTTCCCTTTACCTTACCTTTACCTTACCTTACCTTACCTTACATACTACCTACCTACGACTTTTTACGGCTGTGATCATGGGAGGCATTTCACCTGCTCAAACCGAGGATGGACAGGGTGACGAGGTCTATTGGATTTTTTTCCTTTCACCAAGAGGATGGACTCCTTGACCCAGCAGGCCGTGGTCCTGGAATGTCCTGGATATACTCCACCCTAAGGATCCTTGGACCCTCCATAGAAAGGGTTGAACCCTTTATAACAGGGGATTGTACACTCAAAATCCTTGTTTTTTGAGGGTCTGGATCCTTAGGGCAGCAAAGTCTTACTTTGAAAGTGGATTAGCGGGTTTCTGCATTGCAGGTGGATTAGTGGGTTCCTTCATCCAGTTCTTCATCCGTTTTTTGTTCGCCAACAGCCAACACGGTCCCCATGTCAGCTCCCCCTGTCGGGTTTTAGCGGAGAAAAGCAGCCGCAAGAGAGGACAGCCGCCAGCCGTGTGTCAACTGGAGGCAAAAGCAACATTTGGCGCCGCTGTGGCCAGAGCTCTTGATGAACAAGGCCTGGTTGAGTGATATGGCCGTGCTTTCATGGCAGGATCCCCGTTCACCCTGGTCCGTTGACCTCCGAAACGGTCCGTTCCATTCTGTTCCTGGTCACACCGGTCGGTCTCCCGGTTGAACGACCGGATGGGCCGTTGAAGCCACCTGCCATGTGTTCACCCTATCTGACCAGTCCACCATGTTACCTTCAATGTGACTGAGGACCGACTAAGCCCACTCATCGGTGGGTGCCCCGCTTCGGTTTCCGGGTGCCCGAATCCCCCACGACGCCAATCGAAGGAGTTTTTCGTCGATCTGCGCTCGGTCACTCGGTCACTCGGTTGACTGATAGGCTAGGGCACCTGAACTTGAATGATAGGGCACTCGTTCATTGTTTTTGGATGCGACTGACTTATACCCGTCCGGTAATCCATACTAACATCGGGTAGCTCAGCCACACTAAAGATTTTTTTGTAAATCACGTACGTCCAGGACTTCAGAACGAGAAAACATATCAGGAATTCGAAGTTCAGAAAAGGTATGTTAAATCATGATATGACTAACTAAAAAGACCACATGGTAGGTCAGACACAGGATTCTATAAATGAATGTTTTTTCTTTCCCACTTGGAGGTCCTTGAGGGTCCAGGATGGGGCCTGCAGGGCCGCGACCCGAAACCGTTGAGGATGTTCAAATGCTGGTAATGCGAATCATAAAAGCAGGCATAACTCGCACCACTGGTAGATGCTCCTGAAAGGGTTCTGTTCGTACTTCTTGAAGGGTGGCATTTTCAGCAGAATCGTGATTTGTGGTTGATTAGAGTGAGAGAGATTCTTCCAGTACAGACGGTTCATTCTCACTCGATGATCGGAAGATGTTGCGAAGGAAACAATACAGCTTTCTTCGCATCGAAAAACATCAGTCAGGGTCCATGACAGGATTTCATTATGAATCATAGTGGTGCCTTATAAACATGCCCCAACCTCAGTCCCAGGACTTTAGAAACGCCTCGGTCCAGAATTTAGTAAACAACATCATCATGTTTTTTGGCATCGTACCTTGGGCCACTATTGTTGTCCTCAGTCCCGAAGGACTTTATAAAATCCAGACTTCGACCTTCCGGCAGAAACCACAACGGGTATTGACTTCTCATTCATTCAGTCTCGTGGAAGTCTGTCTTGCAAGGGTTGAGTGATTTCATTCCTGGTGCTTCACATGCTGGACTGGTTTGGTGGAATCCGCTGCGGATTTGATTTGTTCCGCTGGCATTGGTTCACTCTTGGCATTGTGTTCCGTTCTGTCTTCTTGTGTGGCGAGTTTGGACTCACGTGCCATGGTGAATGAGCCCATCTACAGTCACAGGAGGGGCAATCTTCCATCGATCCTCCGACTAAGAAGCACACCCTCCAGGGAGTCACAGATGTCGCTCGGGGCGCCGGCGAGTTCCGGAGGATGTCGTCACAGCACATCACATCCCAGGGGCGCCCCCTGGATGGGACGAACCACTCAACCTTTGTTTCGCTCCATCCATGCCATGTCGCGGTCCATCCGTGCCATGTCCCTCCCAATCTCATCATCTGGCACTCTGTGTCCTTGGCGCCCGGGGGCAAGCCCGGAACCTCACCCTTGGTAGCTTGACCATGTCTACTATACTTCTAGTCTATTCAGTTCATTTGTTTCGATGGGAAACACACCCCAAGTCGCCCGGTGCCAGTTCCCCTCGACGGTCTCCGTCTGCGGTCCCCGAGTCCCTCCGCGGCTCCGGGCTCAGGCGGAGGTCGCCGCGCCGAGGCCGGGGGGAGCACCGGTGGGGACGACGGGGAGGAGCCGAGGGGGTCGAGGCAGCGAGACGAAGGATGTGGGAGGACGTGGAAGGTAGACTCTGGAAGGACCCTCCCAAATGAATCGAAGGAGGTAGACTCTGGATGAATCACCATCTTCCATTGTTTTGGAATTGACCAAGCTCTTCATAGTGGGTGTGTTGAAGAAGATCAAGAGTCTAGTCTAAGAGGAAGACCTTGGAGAGACCGCACAAATCAACCAATTGGTACACAGACTACTGTGGGTTTTGGTCCATTTTCCCGACCTTCCAGGAGGTCGGAGCGCCTAAGAAAACTCCCTATGCAAGAGCTACATCACCCAGATAAATCGTCAGCTTTGCCTGGGGTGTTCTCGATCAGAGAACGTCCCCGGTGGTGTTGAATTCCATGCGAGAGCGGTCCGATCCTTGGGAATTCATGTTCCGTTCATGAAGCAATTCTGCGTGATCACTCGACAGGCTAGACATGTTAGATCTGCGATTTCATGGTGCATATGTTCATGCATATGTTACATGTTATGAATTCAAACACATCCTCTGATTTGGGTGCCAGGTAGTTATGCCATTCCAAGAATGAACCACCCCCTTCCATTCCACTGCTCCTTCGGGGACGAACGACGCGATCCGCCCCCTCACGGGTCCAGGCCTCGATTCGCCCTCTAAAACCTGGTCATCTCAGAAGCTCAGATGGAGGATTTCTTGTGGGGGAGGAGGGTTTTCTTCAAATCAGCGATCCCTTAAGGCACTATGTCAAGAAACGTCACAGATCCAGAAAACCCGGAACACTCAAGGCTGATTCTCTTAAACGTCTACTACCAGGACCTTCCACCAGGTGGTTTTTGGACACCCCCTTAACCCGGTAGAAAGATGACACCCGGATGCCCCGCTGGATGCCCCAGCGGCTCGCACCGCACTGCACCGGCACCACCGCGCGAACCCGGTTCCCGAACCGACCGAAGTCGCCGCGCGGAGCGGAAGCGCTGCTCAGGCGCGCAGCTGCACCGAACGCCTTCAACATTGACTTGTCTCCGGAGGTGTGGGTCCAGATGCGAAAGACCCTGAACCCCGAAAGAGCTGTTGGTTCTGAGGGCGAGCAAGTTTCGAGTCCCAACAGAGCCATTGGTTGAGGGGAAAAGGCACCAGCTAGTCGAATAGCAGCACAGCGGACCGAATCCGTTTCCAAGAGATTTAAAGACCATAGAAGATGCGGAGAAGGATCCGCCAGGACTGTTCACTCTTCGAAAGATTCGAACAGGTTTCTTCTCGTGAGCCGAGTGACGAAAACAATCCCGGATGAAGAACTGCACGTTTCATCACTTTGGGTCGTCAAAGTTCTTCAACATGCTTTGGGTTGTCAGGCAACTTCGCCACCGAACTCGACAAGTGCTTGGAGATCTCCCAACCCCCCAAAAACCTCATCATCCGTCCCAAAACCCACACGCTCGCTCGCAAGAGACATGGCACGGACCCTCCGGCACCCTCCCCCACACGCCCATCCCATCGTGCTGACCATAGAGATCGTAGGGTCCGGTGCGACAGGGTCCGGCCCGGTTCCGGGGCTTTGCAAGGGTCGGAGATCGTCGCGAAGCGAAGGTGAGCAAGGAGACACTGAGACACTATAGGTGCCCGGATAAAAGGTGCATGGTACCATCTGTCCAGTTCGGTACGACTGGATCCCGATAGGGAGACCCCCAACCAATGGGTAGACTGACTGGTCTATGTTCCTTCTTCCCTATCTCAATACACACTCACATTCAAGTGGAAAACATATCACCCTGTCTGGTATGAGGCTTTCATAGGGCCAGTCATGCCATCCACATAACCATGAGGATGTTGGAGGGAGTGGCTTCTGACACGAGCTGCTTGGTGTCCTTCGAACTCGTTCGAAGGACACCAAATCCGAGGAGGAACCAGGACCCAACTCGTGTGAAAACCTGTCTGGCTTGGACATGACTTCTTTCTTCCCAAGCCCCAAGCCTCTTCCATTTGTGACGGCCGGACGTCCGGACATGAGGAAGCTGAACTCGTCCTCCCAGCTACCACTCATCCGCATGTCCACCTATGATGAGCTCTCGGGACGGGAAGCATGACGAGAGATCGACCGATAAGGGAGGATTGAGAACCAACAGATCCTCTAAGAGAACAGCACGTGACAGCATCTGCCCTCAACCCCCCTCTACGTATCTTTGCACATCTTTCAGACCAGGTCTGAGCATGTGATCTTGGCGCGGAAAAGTCGATGGGATTCTGCAGCCTCTAAGAGACTGCAGCCCAGAAGATTGGGTATTCTCCCGTTTGTGGCAAGGGTCTCGACCCAAACGGGAAGGGGAGTTTTGGACAGCCATAGAGTCTCAAGAACGGGTTGGGATTTGGATGATCCAGCTTAGACCAGTCTAGCCAGCCAGGCCAGGGTGTCTCCCTATTGAAATCCACAGCCAAATCTCGTGGAATTGGACTTCTGGGGTCTGGAGATTTCGTGCCCTAGGCTCAAGCCACGCAGGCTGAGAAGGTGCTGCTCTTTTCGGGCAATTCCAAGTCAGCCGAGTGGGAGCCTGGGCGGCCAGGAGGGCGCACGCGTTCTGGCCGGCGGAAAGGAGCATGTGGTTTCGGGCCACAACCAAGGAAAGGGGATCGACGAAACCGCCTTGGAATCCATTGGACCCCAAGTCGGGTTGCTACGGGGTCGTTTTTAGGGTCTCACATGATAGCTGTAGTGGCCGATCCTGCTTTTTGCAGGCTTTAGATGTGGATAGAACGCGCAGTAATTGGAAGCGGAACCTGCATTTTTAAAAGCAGAAAACACGAGGAGACGGTGCCAAGATGCGTATCTCGATGTTCATTGATCAAGCTTTGTTTCATACCAAGGCCCACCAGTCTCATGGCACCGCAAACCCCCGCGAGCAGTCTCCATGGGAGGTTGACATCCCTACTTCTAGAGGAATGCCCGGTGCCATGCACTGCCATAGAGCTCCATCCTGTCATGGGCATTTGGAGTACTATACCGGCGTGTGCCGGCGGGCAAAGCCTCCTTTTTCAGCGGGCCACAAAAGCACCAAGCAAAGATGGAAGTGGACAATCCACCTAGTGTAGAGGTGTTTCATGAGGCCCCTTGTTCACTTCCCTGTTTGCCTTTGGGTCTGTTACGTGGGGCCTTTCCAAGATCTATACACGCAAAAAAAGAGAGGTGGCAGCATTGGATTCAAGGACAACTTTTGTGTACCCCTGAACTTCCAAGGACTCATTTCATTTTACCCCACCTGAAACGGTAGTCATGTGTAGTCATAATCCAGCACTACCACAGGAGCCAAATGAGTCATGACTGGACTCTGAGGGTACTGCTCACCAGGTTCCTCTCCTGGTTGATCCCTGGGACACAATCTACAGTAAGTACGAAAAGAAAGAGATGCTGTCCAGCAAGATCTACGAAATCCAGTTCCAACCAGAAACAGTTTGAACTCCTCAGCCCTGGCCACTTTGTATCTCAAGCTTGGTGCCATCTTGGGTTCCAACCCGCTCCTCAGGTATGGACCATGTCTGTGAGACTTCTGCACACCGAAAGTCACAGACGAGAAAGAATCCCCAAACCTCCCAGCATGAAAGAGCACAAAAGAACGTGTGCGGTTTTATCCTAGCTTGCAAAGCCTCAAACGGTTTCTATGGCACACCAACCATACTCAGGCCACCTTGGTTCTCCTCACACCAACTATAACTATACTCAGGCCACCTAGCTTGTTCCACAGCGCAATGCATTGCATGACATGTTGACATTGGATGGCTTTGGATGATTTTGGAACATGTTAGTTTTCTTTCTTCTCTTTTAAAATGCCCCATGAAACCCATGGCACCTTGCACCCCGGTTCCCAAAAACACCTCGGTTCTTCTTCCACATCGGCCTTCTTCGGGGGCCTAGGAACTCATCGCCGGAGAGGAAAGCGCCTCTCCCCTGGGGCAGAAGGCGCCTGTTTTACGTTTCGACACGAAAAAGGACGTCGTGGCGATCAAGCGACTGGAAATGGTACATTTTAAACTTAAATCAAGCAATCCCTGTAAATGAGCATAGGATAATCACATGTTTGGACCAATTTTGCCAGCACGGTTGGACATATTTTTAAACCCCATTGAAATGCACCTTTTCAGGGGTTTGAAACATCGAGTGATTCTGCACGATAAACGGTGCAATTGCAACCAGGTGATGCATATGATGCAATCATAAGTTATACGACTGCTACCTGCTGATGCATATGATGCAATGATGAACGATAGATTCGGACATAGACGGTTGAGAGGAGTTTGTATGCTTGCCTTTCATGGACCTGGTGATGCAAATGATGCAATAGATAATGCGAGATATAGTACAAGACATATGGATGATCCGAGAAAATCATGCGTTTTTCATGTCTTCCACCATCCCGCCAACCCCAGAGGAATCCGCCTTTTCCAACCAAGAGAGGTGAGAAATCTCACAGAGACGAGTCGATGAACTCGCCCAAAGACAGCAAGAAGCAGAGAGCTTTGGACAGACGCACGTGGCTTGCCCTTCGTGCACCAACTTCACCAAGGCCGAGCAGGTTGCAACCAGAGGATTCAGCAACACAGGAAGTTTTGGCATTGCCAAGATGACTTGTTCAGAGTTTGCTTGGACATGTTCACAGCGGACTATGCAGTCGTGGCCTTTGATTGCAGCCATTGGAGCCTTCTCATGAACATGATGAAGGACCTCCTTGAGTCAGCTGCAGTCCTCTCCCAAACGCACCTCATGATGCAGGATATGCATTCTCAATCCCAAACGAACGCCATATATAGTCGTGCACGCGACCCAACGCCATCACGCCCCTCAACACCTTGGGTGCGGGCGGATTTTGATGCACACCAACAATGGCTGTGACATGGCAGACCTTTCCGTCCGTGGTCTTAACAGGTTGGTTCATGCACTGGTTGGGCGTCGACCATTGAATCGGAAAGAACACGGCCGCAGTATGTAGTGCTCGATTTGTCAGCCGGAGGCCGCTGGAGGGAAAGAGGGGTGGTTTTTTGATCAATCCAAATTGAGCAGCGGTCAAGGCTTCCAATACATGGCCGTGGGTCAAAACCCAGAGCCAAAAACTCTAGTGCATGAACCTTCTACATAGGTCAAGCAGTGTTCTACCAGCGCTTTTGATGACCACTCTAGAGGCCATGCTTCTTGCGTGTCAAATTGACCACCCTATAGGTGCCTGCATAGATGACGGCTTACCCAACGAAAGCTTCCCCAACGACCTCCACTTTGCTTCCTCCCGTGGCAACAGCGGGGCGACGCACCGAAGGACGCCGGAGGCGAAGCCCACTGACCACCACCCAAAAGGGAACCCGCTTCCGGCCCGGCCGTCGGCGCGGAGTTGCCGGTAGGACGTGCTGTCGGTCTGCATTCCAAGCTTCCAAGAAGAGCCCTGCATCCTCTTGGTGGACTCCCAGGATGGCGTGGTGGGGGTGGAGTGTTTGTTTTCGTCCTTCGGAGTTACCTCCGTGGGGGTGGAGAGCGACGGGAAGGTTTGTCGTGTCAGAGTTGGGAAGACGACGGAGAGATCCAGTGTGAGATTGGGATGCGTCACAGGCGGTTTCCGAGCCTCCCGTGGCTTCCAAGTCGCTGAGAAGATCCACCTGTCGGGTGTCTCTTCGAAGGGACCTAGCTGGACCCGACCTTCAAATACCTGAGACTATGGGAACAAGAGTCCTGTGAGACTCCAAGCATCAAAACAAGCACGACTGTACCCAGGACTCCAAGGGTCATGTGAGACTCCAACGGGTAGCTGGTCTTCCCAGTCCTAGGAGTCCTTCCTGCCCCGACAGATGGCTGGGACCCTGGGTCGCCCGGCCTTGAAGTCCTTGCGGCGCGACAGGCCTTGGCCCCCTGCACCGATCTTGTGGGTGGGTGGCACCAGGTGAACCAAAGCCAACGATTCAAACAGCCGAAGCTTCGTGCGTGTTCACCCCAATTGGCGGCTGCATGCGTCGGCCAAGTACAGATGGAACTTCAGGGGCGAAACAGCCAAGTCGGCGAAGCACGCGCCAACTCAGTGGAAGGGTGAGCCACGCGTGTTTCGGCCGCAGGACTTGTCGGTTCAGATGCTGAAATTCGCCGTTGAGACGAGAGTTTGAGGTGGCGAAGGAGCAGCGAAGAAAAAGAAAGAGCTGGACGAGCCGTGTTGGAGAGAAACATGACTCCAACTGAAGGGGCAAAATAAACATAACATCGTCTGACTAGAGTCTAACCACACACACACACGCATCTATACTATACAGACCATTTTTGTGAAACAATTGGATTCTAGGGGTGCTCCTACATCAAAACCCAACCGCTTCTGCGCTGCCACCGTTGCTTCCTGCCCCCAAACTGCTCTGTGGGAAGCAACGCTGGGCCGTTGGGCCTCCAGGGTTTGCCCTTCGGGAAGAAAACGCATGAACGCAGCACTTGAGTGGATCGGTGCCTTCAGCATCAACCTGCAGCTTCTGACGTGTGCCCTGACCAAAGGTACAAAAGCCACGATCGGTGCTTGGTGAGTTGGCAGTAGCTCTCCCCCATCCTGAAAAGTGGAGGTGTAAAGTTCACGCTGTGCACTTGTGTTTCGGCAGTTCGAACTGTTTTCGACCTTCACTTACCGTCGTTCCCTCTCAAGACTGGGAGGGCAGTTGCCTTGCAAAAGGCGCGGCCGCGGCGCTTCAGTGCGCCCTCTTGTTCTCGTGTTTGCGGACTTCGGGTGCCGCTGCTACCTTTTTCGCATTGGTAGCGGAGCCTCCTCCGGGGGGCTCCGAGTCCTTTGCGCGAAGAAGAACGAGGTTCTGCATAAGTCCTTTGTCACGAACCCTTGGCCGAGCTCTTTTGTTTCCTCGTTGAAGAGCCCTTTCGGTCTTGGCTACTTGTTTGAGAATGCCACCAACGACATCGGCTGCAGAAGGTTCCAAGGATGGTGACTACCTCAACCTGCGCGACTCCTTCGTTCCACTGTTCAGTGGACAACCCCAGGACTACAAAGAGTACAGAAAGAGGCTGATGCTCTACCACCACAAGATGAAGATCAGCAAGCGCTCAGCCGAGTCCGTCCTGAACATCCTGGGAAGTTTTCAGGGTGTGACGTGGCGGTTGTTCGAGGACTTCTCAATTGAAGAGGCTGAGAAAGAGGATGGCTTCAGCAAGATCATCACCAAGCTCGACAAGAACTTCGAGTATGACGATCGTGTGCTCCTTCCGAATGACTTTGAGGAGTACTTCAACTTGTTGCAAAGGAAGCCACAGCAAAGCCTCCTGTCCTTCGTCACCGACCATGACACCGCCTATCGTCGTTTGACTGCCCACAATGTGACTCTTCCAGTCCAGGTTCAAGGATGGCATCTACTCCGACGTGCTGCTTTGTCAAAGGAGCAACGCCAAATGGTGACGCTGAAGGCTCCTACGTTGGAAAAGAATCCTGTCATCGAAGCCCTGTACCTGCTGTTCGGTCAGGACTACAAAGCAGGCGGCTGGAATGCTGAACGTGATCGAAAGTTCAACCGCTGGAAGGGCCGCGGCTACGCCGCATTCGATGAAGAAGATGCCTACTGGTCCGAGCAACCCTGGACAGAAGACGCCTACTATGAGGCCGACGACTGGTATGATGACACTGCCCCTGACGATGAGGCTGACTTTGACTATGACGCCATCTACTACGGCGAAGAGGATGAACCTGGAGAACACCATGACCTGTCCGAAGATCCTCAAGAGTTGGCCGAAGAGTATGACCACGCCTATGCCACCTACTTGGATGCCCGGCAAAGATTCCAGCAGCTCAAGTTGGCTCGTGGCTACCTGCCGATCGTCGCCCTCACTGATGGCCAGAACGCTTCGCCCGCCTCTGGATCCTCTTCACCTTCGAAGGGCGCCGGCAAGAACAAAGGAAAGGGTAAGAGCAAAAGCAAAGGAAAAGGAAAGAATGTGGTGCGCTATCCACCCTCCTCAGGTGGAAAGGCTGATCCAAAAGGTCGTGCAAAGGCAACTACATGCCTTCGTTGTGGCCAACCAGGTCATTGGGCAGCGCAATGTCCACAAGGTGCGAAATCACCCTCATCGTCCAACAAGAGACCTGCACCCACTGAGGGTATGGCCTTGCAGAATGAGACCGCCTTGGTCCTGTTCCAGGATGAGATGGGCACCGACCGACCGGATGCCACCATGCTTGACCCAGGTGCATCTGCCTTCCTGTGCGGATATGGTCCATTCGGCCGCTATTTGAGCCACTTGCACTCCATGAACTACCCCATCAACACCATCCGCTTTGCTCGATGTGACCGCCAGTTCCATTTTGGTGGCGATGCATCCTCACGAGCTTCATGGACAGTGGATCTCCCGGTGATGATCGATGGCCAGTTCGGCACGATCCAATGCTACCTGGTTCCTGGCAACACGCCAATGTTGATGGGCCGACCTGTGATTGAGGCTCTGCACATGGGCACCGACTTCAGCCAGAAGCGCATTCGCTTTGGGCAATCGCCTTGGACCTCAGTGCTTGTGGGCCGCCATGGCGAGTACTTGTTGAGCCTCACCACTGGCATGGAGGAAGTACCTGATCCCACGAAAACCCTATTCAGCCTTCGCATTGTTGAGGAAACACCTGGCAGCCATCTCCACTTCGAGGACTTTAACAAGCTCGAACATGTGTTTCAGGCTGAAGATGTGGCTCTAGCAGGTGGCGAATTGCAATCCACTCGCCTTCATCGACATGCCCTTCGAACCATGGAGACTCAGTTGGTCACTACCTCAAACTCCACCGAAGCCTATATCACTCAGGAGCTTCACAATCCTCCCGACCATCGACGAGTTCTCTGGGAAATCTATTGTGGCAAAGCTCGCACTGGCCACATCGCAGAGGAGCTTGGCATGAAGGTGGAAAGATTTTCTTTGGACAATGGCTGGGACTTCAACCTCATCAGCCATCAACAACAGCTACTCCAACGACTTGATGAAGAAGAACCTGATGAAGTGCTGGTGGCACCAGAATGCCGCCTGTGGTCAAGAATGCAAACCTTGGCTTGTCGCACCCCTGCACAGCAAGAAGCCTTGAAGGCTCGACGTGAGCACCACCATCGTCGCCATCTCTGCTTTGCCAAGCGCATCTACCTACGACAGGTGACCAATGCACGGCATGCCCACTTGGAGCAGCCCCGACATGCCTTGAGCTGGAATACGATGGCTCTCCGAGATCTTCCTGGTTACTATGCCGACTTCGACCAATGCCGCTATGGAGCAATGTGCATGGACACCGACGGCATCTGGCGACCTGTCCAAAAGAGCACTCGCCTGTTGACCACAAAGCAGGCTGTTTTAGAGGCCTTCCAGCTGAAGTGTGACCATGACCACTACCACTGCCCCTTGGAAGGTTCTGCTCCTGGCTATGGCCGCCGGACCACCTACTTGGAAGACTACCAACCTGGCTTTGCAGCGACACTGGCTGCTGCCTTGGCTCGTCCTGAGACCGCTCAACTGTGGGACACCGCCTATGTGGTCGATGAAACTGGCAAGAAAGAGACCGGACACCTCCTCAAGCTCAAGTCTGAACACCGACAAGATGCTCTTCGAACGGTGCAACGGCTACACCGAAACCTTGGCCATCCGGCACCTGATGCTCTGGCTGATCTGTTGACCGCCAGAGGAGCTCATCCCACTGTGATCGCCGCTGCCAAGGAGTACAAGTGTGTGGCATGCCTGAAGCACAAGAAGCCCAACCAGGTTGCTCCATCATCCATGCCACAGCCCAAGACCTTCAACGAAGTGATTCAGGCTGACGTTTTCTACCTCAAGCCAGCAGACCGCAAGTTTGCAGTGCTGAGCATAGTTGATGTTGGCACCAAGTTCATGGCAGCCTACCTGCTTCATGAGGAGACCTCCAAGTCTTACATCACCGCTCTGGAAAAGATGTGGGTTCGCCATTTTGGCCCTCCCAAGAAGCTGATCTCCGATGAAGGCCGACCTTGGCTTGGTGCACCGTTTGAATCTTGGACAAGCTCACTTGGCATTGACCATCAAGTAGCACCAGGAGAAGCTCATGAGCGCCTTTCGTTGGTTGAGCGCCGTCATGCAGTGCTGCGCCGTGCCTGTGAGGTCTACATGGATGACCGCAAGCTCAACGATGCTGCTGGCATCAAGGAAGCACTTTGCTATGTGATCCCACAGCAGAACGCCACACCTGCAGTTGCTGGCTTCTCGCCCAGTCAATGGGTTCTTGGCTTCCAACCTGAGCTGTCCCACCTCATGGACTCCAACCTCAATGCAGCTCAACTTGCTGGCAACAACAGCTCATTTGAGGAGAACCTTGAGCGGCGAACTGCTGCAAAGATGGCACTGGCATCTGCTGATGCTGACTCCAAGCTGCGACGAGCTCTCAGTCGCAAGTACCAGGGCCAGAATCGAGTTTTCCAGTTGGGAGAAAGAGTATGGTTTTGGCGTGATGCTCGCCAAGGAGCACTGAACAAGATCAGATGGCTTGGTCCTGCCCACGTGGTTCTTCGTGAAGAAGATGCTGAAGCTGATACTGCAGCTCCAAAGGTCAAGACCTACTGGCTCGCCTACAAAACACAGTTGATTCGTGCTGCGCCTCACCATGTCCGTGCAGACATCCTCGGACCTCAGCACGTGCTCGAAGACCTGCAATCAGCCCTCAACAAAGTGAGACAGCTGAAATCCCGTGGAGTCACTAGATTCTACGACTTGAGACGGGTGAACCGCCAACAGCTGGATGATGTCGAGGAAGATGAACAACACACTGACCCTGATGGTCCTCTGCTGGAAGAAGATGATGATGAGCCTCCCAGGCATCGCTTTCGCCTGGAGCCACCCGTGCCGACTGCAGAAGCACCACCACAGATCATCGTGCCCGATGCTGAATATGAGCCTACCTCACCTGCTCATTCCAGCTTTGCACCGACGTCTCCCAGAGCACCACCAACACCAGTGATGGCAGAACCAAACATGTTGCTGCCCATGGCTCCAGCCGAGATCACTGTACCAGGTTCACCAGCCACCACTAGATCCCGCTCACGGGCTCCTACTGTGGTCGAACCCAGCGAAGAGCCAACCATACCATCTGCAGCACCCACACCACATGCTACATCACCACCGGCTATTGCAACAGCACCTCAAGCATCAATGTCAGGGCCTTCACTGGACCCTGACACTGCAGCATTGTATGAACCAGTCGATGCTGAAACCTTTCAACAACGACGAGTTCGCTTCAACAGACAGGAGACACTTAGTTTTGGCCCCCTGCG